ACGTACTGATCGATCGACTGAGAGAGAGACGGAGACCGGCAGAGTGTATCGAGATGGGAGGACGAGATCGGGCAGAGTCTAGCAGAGAGAGGAAGGAGAACCGACACCTTGATCGATCTGACGAGTCGGATGTGAGGGAGAGATTACGAGAGAGAGGGTGACCCTGAGACTGGCGAAATGAGAGGGTGAAGAGTTTGACCGCAGATTCAGAGAGAAATGAGACAGATGAGAGGGAGAAAGACAAGGACGAGAGAGCGCGATTTTGTAGCGCAGAGAGGATGACGAGAGATTGGAGAGAGAGAGCCAGGAGGACCCGGAGAGAGGAGAGGAGAGAGATTTAGGAGCTGAGGGAGATCAGAGAGGAGAGGAGAGAGAGAGATAGAGACCGAGAGAACGGAGAGAAGAGGAGGAGGAGACGGGAGCATGGAAGGCGAGGGGGGAGGGGTGAGGGCGAGGGAAAGAGAGAGAGAGAGAGATGAGAGAGAGAGAGAAGCAGAGAAGAGAGAGAGATTCAGCCGAGCAGAGGAGAGACGGGAGGAGAGTGAGAGCATGAGAGATGAGTAGATACGACGACGAGCAGAAATCCTTGATGAGAGAGAGAGAGAGCAGAGAAAGAGAGAAAGACCCTTGAGAGAGAGAGCAGAGAGAGAGAGAGAGACGGAGACGACGTCAGCGGGACGAAGAGAGAGAGAGAGAGAGAAAGAGAGCAAGAGAAGAGAGAGGAGAGAGAGAGCAGAGAGAGCAGAGAAGAGAGAGCGCGTAAAATAGGGTTAAAAGTGCTGACAGGAGATGGAGAAATTAATCTGAGAAGCAGCACGATTCGAGCAGCCGAAAGCAAAGCAGAGATACATTAAGATGGAGATGGACGAAAGAGATAAATTTAGCGAGACGGGGGGGGGGAAGCAGCGAAACGCGTAAAATAAAGACGGGTGAGCGAAAGAATACATGCATGACTAAAAAAAACACTTCAGCGCCCCAGATCGGAAAACGAATCAAACAAGCTTATAGATAAGACGCTAGTTATTTATCTTTGTCCCACATCTCAGCGTGAATTATGTACGCTGCGCATGCCTAATGGCCTATTGACTCGGCCGCTGACAAAGCCCGCGCTTGCCGCTATTCGTGCAGTGAGCAGTGTACGTAGACGCCTCCTTTCCCCACCCGCACTACTTCGCTGTTTCAATATTCACATCGCAAAACACAAGTTACAATAATATATTTCGCTTAATCGCTCTATTATGGATCGCGCTCATTTCGTTTCTATTATGCCAACCGCGGATGATGCGCAGAAGTGAGAAAATGTCTGGTCGAGGTGGGCGGCAGAGGGGCGAAAGACATCACGGCCGCGAAATCATAAAAGGCCAAAGTCGCCGGAGCGAGGAGTGGGCTGCTGGAATAGAGCGTGACTTACAGACAATACAACAATTAGTGTGTACGGGTCAATACAATTAATATTAATACGATACAATAGAAGGTAAAAATCCATGGGTGGATGTGATAGCGCCGTAACAAGCATAATAGCAATGTTCAAAGGCCTTGAGCAGCGAGCGGCAAGGTTATCACGAGAGGCACCTATAGGGTGGTCTCTTCGCACTTGCGAGCACGTGTTATCCCTGGCAGGTAGAGCAGTGGCGGCCCACGAATTGGGTTTATTTAATGCGCTGTCACATTTGAGGCGAGCCAGCTCAGCATCGATAGGGTGTGGATTGATGGCAGGAAGAGGACGGAAGGAGGAGGAAGGGGGAGGCACCAGCTGTCGCTACTGTGTAACACCACGCTACAACGGCTGTGACTGCTGCTGTGCGTGTATGTGTTGTGCTGTTGTGTGGGTTCTGCAGTGTGAATGTTGCTTGTGTGTGTGTGTGTGTGTGGCGCTGTGTGTGTAGTCGACTGTGTGCTGCGTGTTATGTGTGTGTGCTGTGTGTGTGTGTGTGTGTTGATGTGGCCTCTGGCACTGTGTGTGTTTGTGTGTCGTGTGTGTGTCGTGTCCTGTGTGTGTGTATGCTGCTGGTGTGGACGGGGGGGCGGGTGCATGCTGTGTACGTGCGGCGTGCAGTGTGTGTGTTGTTCGTGTGTGTGGCGATGTGTGTGTGTGTGGTGTGTGTGTGGGTGTGTGTGTGTGGTGCGGTGCGGTGCTGTGTGGGGCGCGTGTGGTGTGTCGTGTGTGTGTGTTGTTTGTACTGGTGCTGTGTGTGATAGGGTGCTGCGCCGTGTGCCTATGGTGTGTGTGTGTGCTGTGTGTGCTGTGTGTGTGTGCTGTGTGGTGCGTGCGTGGGCGTGTAGCAGCGCGTTGTGCGTCGTCGGCGCGTGAGTGCGAGCGCGTGAAGTGTTGTGTGTCGTGTTGTGCGCGCGCGCGTGCGCTCGTACGTGTGCGTGCGACGGCCGACACGCACCTCGGCGGACGTGCCATGTCGTTGTTGCTGCGCGGACCACGGTGAGCGTGCTGTGGTGCTGTGTCTGATTCAAGTATCCAGCTCATGCCTACGCATACGCGAGCAGTTGGAGTTTGATTCGTTAAACACACTGGCCGATCATTTCTCAACTTCTCCCTCCACCACAAAATAATCAATAGACTTTTTCGCTGTAACCAGCGTAAATACTGTGGAGTTAATATGAACATTAAGTTCACCCGTCCATCCCATCCATCCCCGTCCACACACACGGCAAGCAGTTATGTATGCGCTATATATATATATATATATATACTATATATATATATATATATATATTAGAGAGAGAGAGAGCTGAGACGAGAGGGACTGAGAGAGAGACGAGAGAGAGAAAAGGAGAAAAGAGAGCATAGAGGATGAGGAAAGAGAAGAGGAGAGAGAGTTATTTATATATAGATAGATATTATAAGGATTATTCTATAATTACTTATATATATAACCCAGTGATTGGCGTAGCAACAACAACGTTTGACATTAAAATCACGTATGTGACCCATAGCCTGTATGCTTTGCTAGCACGCCCAACGCAGTTTCCTTAGTACAGTAGTCATTAGTAATGATCGCTACTTCGTTATTGCGTATTTAATGTATTTAGGTTTCGTCGTCGACCTTGGGTGTCGCCTACAGTCACACTACTCTGTGCTCCGCCTGAAACCGACGTCCTGTCACGCCTGGTGTATGCCCACCATGCAGGTTTCTATAGATGAGACGTAGGCTAAAGCCCGTGCTAGGTTGAAACAGCGCGTGTATAATTAAATTCGTAAGATTCGGTTCTCCTTGCCAGCGTAGCTAGCGCACGCGTCTGCTAGCGCGCCGCGAAATCGTCTGCTCTCTCTCTCTCTCTCATCTATCTCTTCTCTCTTCTCTCTCTCTCTACTCTCTCTCTCTCTCCTCGCTCTCTCTCTCTCTCTCTCTCTCTCTCGCTCTCTCTTTCTGCTCTACTCTCTCTCTCTCTCCTCCTCTCTTCCGGCGCCCCCGCTCTCTCCTCGCGCATACCTCAGTATGTTTGGGTATGTGTGGTATATATATATATATATATATACTATATATGTTTATAGTTATATATATATATATATATATATATATATATATCATATATGATCTCGCGCAATTGTTGTCGCTCGATTGCGCGAGTTATCATAAACATCCGTCAGGTGTCGCATCATCGCCTCATCGCCGCGACTGGTGCCAATAGATCGAGGAGGCGGAGCGATTGTTTTGACGTCATCGTCGGTGAATCGCGCGACTAGCGGGCGTGTGCTGTAAGCTGGCTACGGCGACCTCCTACGCGCAGGTCTGCAATATAAACCCACTGAGCAAGTCTCCACGTATCCGATAGCGAACGAGAACGAACGAGAGAGCGCGAGCGAGGAAGAAAGATAGATATACACCAGGAGCCAGCGGGAGGCAGAGCTCAGTACCGTCACTGAACGCGAAGAAGAGCGGTACCGAGCGAGATCACGAGAGAGAGAGAGAGAAAAAGAGAGAAAGGAAGCAAGAGAGAGAGAGAGATTTCATCACACGGTATTTGACGCTGGTAACATCAACGCTTACCCCGGAGCGTAGATCGGAAATCTGATACACAGGTAGGATGCGATAATTAGTATTGCAATAATTAGTATTGCAGTGATATTAATGAATAATTATTACTTTATTAATGCGCGACGCTAGTTACGTATGCCGCTCGTATATTTTCTCGTTCGGTATAAGTACCTAAGAAGCCCTACCGGGCTATGGTGAAGTTAGCTTCAACTTAAGACTAAGTTGACGCTAACTTACGGAAAAGCTGGGTTTAAGCTTTATCTAGCTAATATATATGCTGAAGCTAAGGTGCGCCAAGTTGAACTTAGCATTAACTTAAAGCTTTGTCAGAGTTGTTTTTCCGGAAAGTTAGTCCTATCTTGAACTCAAGTTGAGCTGGGTTTACACTACCGACTTTATGTTGTCAAATTAGCGAATTGGACTAATTTCCAATTTCGAATTTCCAACAGATTTATACTGATCTATGATCTATACTGATCTATAATTTATTTTTAATATCTTATGTAGTGCTTATTGACGATATATTTATGATTAGAAGATTTCTTGCTGATATTAGCGTATAATATTATGTGTTTGCGACGAGTCAACAGAGTTATGTCGTTATGGCAACGAAAACGCGTTGGTCGACAAATAATCAAATAGGCATTTAGCAATCAAATAATAGGCATCAAACGGTTCGTGTCAGAGGGATGCGATACGCGCAATCGTTAGTGTCGTTTTACGTTGCCATATCATTTGGGAAATCGTCGGTGTTGATCTCTATGTGTGTTGTGTGTGTGGTTTGCCTTCCTCATCGTTGTCATTATCGGCAACGTCGTCGTAGTCGTCATCAACATCATCATCATCGTTATTATTATCATCATCATCGGTGTGTGTTATGTGTGTGTGTGTGGTGTGTGTGTGAATGTGTGTGTGTGTGTGTGTTGTGTGTGTGTTTTGTGTGTGTGTTGTGTGTTGTGTGTGTGTGTGTGTGTGTGTTGTGTGTCTGTGTGTGTGTGTTATGTGTGTGGGGGGGGTGGCACTGTGGTGTGACGTGTGTAGTGTGTGATGTGTGTGGTGTGTGTGTGTGTGTGTGTTGTGTGTGTGTGTGGTGTGGTGTGTGCTGTGTGTGTGTTGTGTGTGGTGTGGTGCGGTGTGGATTGTGCTGTGTGTGTGTGTGTGTGGTGCTGTGTGTTGTGGTGTGTTGTGTCTGTGTGTGTGTGGAGTGTGGGTGTCGTACTGTTGTGTGTGTGTGTGTTGTGTGTGTGTGTGTGTGTGTGTGTGCGTGCGTCGCGTGTGCGTGTGTGCGCGTGAGTGGCTGAGCGCGTGAAGTGTGTGTGTGTGTCGTGTGTGCGCGCTGGCGCGTGGGCGTTGGTGTGGTGCGTGCCGGTGCGTCGTGGCGCAGTGTGGTGTGCGCGCAGGTCGCGTGGTGTGTGTTGTATTCAAGGTAGCTCAGCTGCATCGGCCTACCCGATACCGCGAGCAGTGGAGATTGATCGTTACACGACACTGGCGATCATTCTTCTAACTTCTCCTCGCACCCAAGATACATCAAAGCTTTTTCGCTGTGATACCAGCGTAAATTACTCGTGCGTTAATATGAACCATTAGTTCAGCCGTCATCCATCATCCCCGCCACACGGCGCCGGCACACACGGGCAAGCAGTTATGATAGGCTATATATATATGTATATATAGAGTATTATATATATATATATATATACTATATATATGAGACGAGAGAGAGGAGAGAGAGAGAGAGCAGAGAGAGAGAGAGAGTATTTATATATCGCTAGGATATTATAAGAGATTTGTATATAATAGTATATAGTATACCCAGGATTGCGTAGTAACATACAACGTGAATTAATATCACGTATGGTGGACGCTGAGCTTGTTATGTTTGCTTAGCAGCAAGCAGTTTCGGCGTTAAGTACATTAGTCATGTAGTCATTAGTAATGATCGTACTTCGTATTGCGTTTTAATGTTTAGCGTTTCGTGTCGACCTGTGGGGTTGTCGCTAAGCTCACACTACTCTGTTGTGCCCTCGCTGAACCGAGTCTGTCACGCCGTGTGTATGCACGTGCAGGGTTCTTATGAGAGGACGTTGGTGGTAAACCCGTGTAGTTGAACGCGCGATGTAAATAAAGTGTTCGGTAGATTCGGTTCTCTCTGCAGGGCGGTAGCTAGGGCCGCATCGCGTTACCTGCTCAGGCGCGCGCAAAATGTCCTGGCTGCTCATCTCTCTCTGCGTTGCTCTCTCGTCTCTCTCTTCTCTCATCTCATCTCTCTCTCATTCTCTCTCCTCTCTCTCTGGCTCTCTCGGCTCTCTCTCTCCTCTCTCTCGCATCTCTCTTCTACTCTCGTCATCTCTCTCTCGGGCTCTCTCCTTCTCTCTCGTCGTGGCGCCCCCGCTCTGCTCCCCTCGCGATATATGTATGTTTGTATGTGTGTATATAGTATGTATATATATATATATATGTTTCATATATATATATAATATCCTTGTGTGTGTGTGTGTGTGTGTGTGTGTGTGTGTGTGTGTGTGTGTGTGTGTGTGCAGTTATTAATGTAAAATAATGTTTGTGCGGAATTTCCCCGAAAAAAACTGTTAGCTTCCACATGTTCTCTAATATGAGCCGCGTTAGCGTCAGCTGTAACCAATTAGTCGGACAATTAGTTTATCCACGTGTATTGATGCCTCTTCTTACTACTTATTTAAAAAACAAATATGTTCGAAATGAGCCCTGCCCTCCCATTTATCAAATACTTTATGTAAAATTTATTTATATTCGCATTAAGTTTCGTGATCATGCAACTAAACTTTACCTGAATAAGATCTATCACCATATCATTCAATTATATTATGCGGACAAGTCGTGTCAATCTATTACCGAGAGAGGGCGCGACGAGGTGTGTTTGCTGACTGCAGCGAGCCAGCTCAGAGCTCCATATATAGTCGCTTGTGGCTAGAAGAGATTTATGTGTTAGTGAAATTCACAGAGAGAGGGGGCGCCAGGGTGTGAGAGACAAAGCGAAAGACAGTTACGGATATATAGACAGAAGAACGTGAGAAATGATGTAAAGGAGCATTTGTCTCCTTTACATCATTTCTCACGTTCTTCTGTAGATTTGAAAGGAGCTAGAAAACCAAATAATACACTGAATGAGCATACAGAGCGCACTAGCCAAGGGGAAAGAGATCGGGTGCAATAAGGAAAAGAGAGAAGGTGTGAGAGAGAGAGCGCGGCATAGAGCTAGGAAAAGGTAAGGATTGAAACTGGAGGGAGGGAAGATTCGCGAGCGAGATTGGGCCAGAGACGGAAAACGAACGAGAGATAGATAGGTAGAGAGAAATGGTCAGAAAGAACGAGAAAAAGAAAGAAAGAAAGAAAGAGAGCGAATGAGATAGAGGAAGAGCGAGACATAATGAGAAAGAGGGAGGGAGAGAAAGAACGAAAGAGAGAGAAAGAATGAGAGAGAGAGAGAGAGTAGGAGAGAGAGAGAGAAAGAAAGAAAGAAAAAGAGAATGAGAGAGAAAGAAAGGATGGAGAGCGACGTCCGTCTTCACTGCTACTTGGCGTTCATCGGTAAGAACCACTCAGCGTTAGTTGTCATCAACAAGAGATCGACACAATTCAAAAACATCGGCAATGCAGATTTTCTTCTCGCATCCATTACAAAGGTTGCAACTAATTTCTGAGACACGAGGAGCATAAATGGGATGACTGGTGAATAGCGACCGCCTGCTTGCTCGATGCAGTGCTTGCTCGACATTAAAGTCCGTTATATTGATGATGATGTGTTTGGATATACACCGCTATATTAAGGACTAAAAGAGTGCTTATGAGAGAGAGCGTGTTAGCGAGAGCGAGAGAGGGAGAGGGAGAGAGAGAAAGGGAGAGAGAGAGCGAGAGAGAGAGAGAGAGAGAGAGCGCGCGCGCGAGAGAGAAAGAGAGAGAGAGAGATCGGGAGAGAGAGAGAAAGAGACAGAGAGAGAGAAAGAGAGAGAGAGAGAGATGCTAATGTTCTCAATTTTCCATCTCTCTCTCCATCTCTCTCTCTCTCCAGAGGGAGAGAGAGAGAGAGGCCACAAACAATCCGAATAGTTCCGATATGAATGATGTAATAAATAACGATGATGAGATGTGAGTACGACTACGACGACGCGTTGCGATAATGACAACGATGAGGAGCAACCACACACACAACACTAGCGACAACAGCCAGACATTTCCCAGATGATATGGCACAGTCAGAACGACACTATACGATTTGCGCGCGTGTATTTGCGCATGCCCTGCTGACAAACACCGGGTTTGCTGCCTATTAGTTGATTGCTAAATGCCTATTGATATTTGTCGACCAAGCGCGTTTTCGTTGGCCATAACGACATAACTCTGTTGACTCGCAACGCAAACACCATAATATTATACGCTAATATCGCAAGAATCTTCC